GTCCTTGTTCCCTGTTCACCTAGCAGTAAGTACCTCGGGGTCCTTGTTCCCTGTTCACCTAGCAGTAAGTACCTCGGGGTCCTTGTTCCCTGTTCACCTAGCAGTAAGTACCTCGGGGTCCTTGTTCCCTGTTCACCTAGCAGTAAGTACCTCGGGGTCCTTGTTCCCTGTTCATCTAGCAGTAAGTACCTCGGGGTCCTTGTTCCCTGTTCACCTAGCAGTAAGTACCTCGGGGTCCTTGTTCCCTGTTCACCTAGCAGTAAGTACCTCGGGGTCCTTGTTCCCTGTTCACCTAGCAGTAAGTACCTCGGGGTCCTTGTTCCCTGTTCACCTAGCAGTAAGTACCTCGGGGTCCTTGTTCCCTGTTCACCTAGCAGTAAGTACCTCGGGGTCCTTGTTCCCTGTTCACCTAGCAGTAAGTACCTCGGGGTCCTTGTTCCCTGTTCACCTAGCAGTAAGTACCTCGGGGTCCTTGTTCCCTGTTCACCTAGCAGTAAGTACCTCGGGATCCTTGTTCCCTGTTCACCTAGCAGTAAGTACCTCGGGGTCCTTGTTCCCTGTTCACCTAGCAGTAAGTACCTCTGGGTCCTTGTTCCTTGTTCACCTAGCAGTAAGTACCTCGGGGTCCTTGTTCCCTGTTCACCTAGCAGTAAGTACCTCGGGGTCCTTGTTCCCTGTTCACCTAGCAGTAAGTACCTCGGGGTCCTTGTTCCCTGTTCACCTAGCAGTAAGTACCTCGGGGTCCTTGTTCCCTGTTCACCTAGCAGTAAGTACCTCGGGGTCCTTGTTCCCTGTTCACCTAGCAGTAAGTACCTCGGGGTCCTTGTTCCCTGTTCACCTAGCAGTAAGTACCTCGGGGTCCTTGTTCCCTGTTCACCTAGCAGTAAGTACCTCGGGGTCCTTGTTCCCTGTTCACCTAGCAGTAAGTACCTCGGGTCCTTGCTCCCTGTTCACCTAGCAGTAAGTACCTCGGGGTCCTTGTTCCCTGTTCACCTAGCAGTAAGTACCTCGGGGTCCTTGTTCCCTGTTCACCTAGCAGTAAGTACCTCGATGTTTACCTGTCTTCCACTTGCTGTCTCGGTTCACCTAGCAGTAAGTAGGTACCCAAGTGTTAGTCACCTTACACCTGCTGTCTCTGTTCGCCTAGCACTCCTTGATTCGTTGGCACACTCCCGGCCCGGGTCCTTTCCAGATGGTGACCCGGCCTTGGCTGCCAGTGGCGTCGCTAGGGTTGGTGTCACCCGGGATGGCATCTTTGGTGTCACCCGGGATGGCATCTTTGGTGTCACCCGGGATGGCATCTTTGGTGTCACCCGGGGCGGCATCTTTGGCGTCACCTGGGGCGGCATCTTTGGTGTCACCTGGGGCGGCATCTTTGGTGTCACCCGGGGCGGCATCTTTGGTGTCACCCGGGGCGGCATCTTTGGCGTCACCCAGGGCGGCATCTTTGGTGTCACCCGGGGCGGCATCTTTGGCGTCACCCGGGGCGGCATCTTTGGTGTCACCTGGGGCGGCATCTTTGGTGTCACCCGGGGCGGCATCTTTGGCGTCACCCGGGGCGGCATCTTTGGTGTCACCCAGGGCGGCATCTTTGGTGTCACCCGGGGTGGCATCTTTGGTGTCACCCGGGGCGGCATCTTTGGCGTCACCCGGGGCGGCATCTTTGGTGTCACCCGGGGCGGCATCTTTGGTGTCACCCTGGGCGGCATCTTTGGTGTCACCCGGGGCGGCATCTTTGGCATCACCCGGGGCGGCATCTTTGGCGTCACCCGGGGCGGCATCTTTGGCGTCACCCAGGGCGGCATCTTTGGTGTCACCCAGGGTGGCATCTTAGGCGTCACCCAGGGCGGCATCTTTGGTGTCTCCCAGGGCGGCATCTTTGGTGTCACCCGGGGCGGCATCTTTGGTGTCACCCTGGGCGGCATCTTTGGTGTCACCCGGGGCGGCATCTTTGGCATCACCCGGGGCGGCATCTTTGGCGTCACCTGGGGCGGCATCTTTGGCGTCACCCAGGGCGGCATCTTTGGCGTCACCCAGGGCGGCATCTTTGGCGTCACCCAGGGCGGCATCTTTGGTGTCACCCGGGGCGGCATCTTTGGTGTCACCCTGGGCGGCATCTTTGGTGTCACCTGGGGCGGCATCTTTGGCATCACCCGGGGCGGCATCTTTGGCGTCACCCGGGGCGGCATCTTTGGCGTCACCCAGGGCGGCATCTTTGGTGTCACCCAGGGCGGCATCTTAGGCGTCACCCAGGGCGGCATCTTTGGTGTCTCCCAGGGCGGCATCTTTGGTGTCACCCGGGGCGGCATCTTTGGTGTCACCCTGGGCGGCATCTTTGGTGTCACCCGGGGCGGCATCTTTGGCATCACCCGGGGCGGCATCTTTGGCGTCACCTGGGGCGGCATCTTTGGCGTCACCCAGGGCGGCATCTTTGGCGTCACCCAGGGCGGCATCTTTGGCGTCACCCAGGGCGGCATCTTTGGTGTCACCCGGGGCGGCA